GTCCCGCAGACATAGATCCACAGATAGCCCAAGTTAGGTTGTAAAGCCCAGGAATGGTGTGGACGTTTCATTCTGCAACTGCCATGATAAGATCCTTGATATCAGTGGTCCTAATACCAATATATTTGACATGTTAGAGACAGCATTGGTGGAAAGGACCCAGGCAGACCTTCATGCTTTTATGAGTTGGATAAAAATATAAATTTGCATGATAGGCAATGCAAGCACCACTCTGGCAACAGAAAGACATAAAAGTCAATCTTATTCAAAATACAGGTAAAAATGGTAAATCTTGCTACTAGTGAGCCTCCAAAAGGTATCCTCTTTGGAGACAGCTTTGTTAACGAGCTGGGCACATACATTAGCACTATCACAGCATTGGACAAGGCACTGGCTAACATGAGAAAAGTTTACTCCCCCAAGGTTTTCATAGAGGCTGTCAGAACCTGGGGCCGTCTGGCCAGCTGCTGTTTCAAGGTCTCCTTTAGGGGAAACCAATGTCACGCTACAGCTAGAACTGCTATGCAGAACACTACACCAATGCATTGGTTTCAGACAAAATGCACATTTTATGGGACAAGGGAGCTATTATACAGATTCCTCCTCTGACTCCAGGTATTGTGAGCAATCTCTTCTTAGTCCACAGAGAGGTGGTGCCCAACCAGTGATAAACATCCAATTGCTGAACGCTTTTGTGGCTTATCACTGAAAGGTTTCATTACCTTCTAGATCTACTTCAATATGGATGGTCAAACCTGACTTGAAGGATGCATATCAGACAATTCCCATTGATGACAAAGTCCAAGACTACCTTCAATTTCTTTGGCATGGGACCAAATGGTGATTTACATGCCTACCGTTCGGTCTCTTCTCCTCCCCATGGTGTTTCACCAAACTTCTGAAACTGGTAGTCTCATACAGTGGTATACTATCAGAGGGAAGGGGGGTCCGCCCTGCATGCCACTCATTAGGGGGAATATCATCTGGCCATTTCCAAGCAGCACAATTTGAACCTAAGCATGTTGACGATGTGGTGCGCGGAGGCGCGCAATGCTATGCCATGCCGACGTGTTACGTCAACCCACCTTCACAGTGCTTCATGTGCCTCTGACACTGGGTGCAGGCGGCGCTGTAGCAGTAGTGCTTTAGCAGCAGGGAGCAGCAAGCAGACAATCCATCACTTCTGTCATCAACTGTGAGCTTGCTTGCTAATATTGTATTTTCTCTTTTTTTTTTTTTTAAATGGATATCATAGATGTAGACGGGGCAGGCATTTGTAAAGGGGGGTAGGGGTTTGTAGAGGGGGGGCAGGTGTTTGTCCACTCTAGCCAATCAGCGGCACCCATGCCTGACGTCAATCGGCACTTCCTGACACTCCATTTCAGAAGCCGAATACCACTGAGCGACCTGGAGCTGGAGGAAGCCTTTGGGGTTAAACCATTTGAGAGCGGTTTAACCCCTAAAGGAAAGAGTGTCAGGAATATAAACATGTATTCCTGACACCATAGTTGTGAAAACACAATTCACCCTGGCTTTATGTGATAATGACTATGCCCCTTCCCTTTCATGACAAGCATGGATGTCATTACAATTATGTCCCCCCCCCGGAAAAATTCCTGCAGACGCTCATGGGTGCAGAGGTTTTTAGAGTGGGAGCAGGGGTTTGTAGAAGAGGGGGGGGGGCAATGGCTTGTAGAGGGGAAGCAGGGCTTTGTAAAGGGGAGCAGCGGTTTGTAAAAGGGGGAGATTGGAGCATGGGTTTTGTTGAGAGGGGGGCAGGGGTTTGTAGAGGGGGCAGGGATTTGTAGAGCAGGCAGGAGTTTTGTAGGGGGGTGCAGGGGTTTGTAGAGGGGGGCATGGATTTTGTAGCGGTGGCATGGCTAGGAGTTTTGCAGAAGGGGGAGGTGGCAGATTGTGAATGTGCTTGGGGAGGTATCAGTCTTAATAAGAACTAAATAATAAACAAATATGCCTATATATATTTTCATTCCTTCATGTATTTGGATATTTCTATATAATCTTATATTTCAAAATACACTTAGAATTAAATCCCTACTTGGTACATGGAAATTTTGTGTTTCAACATAATTAAATCGAGAGTTTCCTTCAGCTATAGGACTCCAAGATGTTGTCATGTCCTGTCATCTTTCCTGGGCTTCTTCACTACTGTGCCCTCCAACCATCAAGTCTCAGAACCTATGTTTGGGCCTCTCTTACTTATTATCCTCAACTGAAAAGCCAAGAATAAACTCTCTTGGTGGCTGCAGCACATGGAGGCTTGTAATGGTCGTGCCATTTTCAGTACTGCTCCAGATCTTATTATCGAATGCGACACGTGTACGCTGGGGCACATGGTGCTGTCCTATCTACACAATTGTGAAATGGTCACTGATCGAAAAATTCCTTCACATCAATTAGATCAATCTCCTAGCCAGCTCCTTAGCTCACTGCAGCCTGCTGAAGGGCTCCAAGGATTGTTCCATCTTCTTGCAACTGGACAATATCTCCACAGTCAGATACATAAATTATCTTGGAGGTGCAAGATCACACATTCTGATGGACCTGGCAAAAAATTTTTTGCAGATCTGCCTGGATCACAACTTATCTGTCCAAGAAGAATACATACAAGGATTGACCAACACCATTGTGGATTGGAATTCCAGATTCCTGAAGGATCCCAGCAATTGGTTCTTGAACTGCAATGTCTTTCTGCAATTGCTGTCAATCTGGGGACCACCGAACATCTTGTTTGAATTTTCAATTCCCATTTTTCTACAGCTGGAGACTGGACACAGAGGCTCTTGCAACGGATGCTTTTCTTCAGCAGTGGAAGGTAGCTGGTCACTATGCCTTTCCAACATTCTCTCTAATCTCTTGTACTCTGCTTCATCTGAAACACAATCAGATCTTACGTGGCCTTATCACTCCATTTTGGACATCTCAACCGTGGTTCCTGACACTCCTGAAGATGGTCATCAACATCCTGAGATTACGTCCTCTATCTTTAGGCTTCCTACTAGATTCCGACAGGTACTCACATCTCTTCTTCAACATCACCTCCATCTCTTAGCGTGGCTCATTTCTGTGAACCCTGTTTCATGTCCGACATGCCACAGTCAACACTTGACCTTTTAGCAGGAGTGTGGGCTTTGGGAACTAGACGACCGACCAAGATACAGACCCTCCTCACTTACCAAAGCTCCAAAGCTCCAACATATGTGAGTGTATTATCCTCCATTTTGCTTCTTTTCGCTAATTCTCTCAGTACATACTATACCATTGGAAGTTTGTTGTGTTCTTATCTTTCATATACGGATTCCCTGGAAATTCTGAAGGATTAACCTTTGAGGACTGTACATACAGTTTATCTACATATCAGTGAGACGCCTTTTAGGCATTTTATTGGACTTTTTAAGTTTTATTCTTATTAGTGCACGGACTTTGTTTCATCCATATATTCATTATTTTTCTTATTGTATTTTTTATTTGTATTATTTTTATATTATTTTATTATCCACTTATTTTATATTTTTCATTTTATTTATTTTTAATTTAGCACAGCCCTTCACCCCTTCTTTCTTTTTCTACTCCTCACTTACCGACCGGGTTCCGTTCCTACAACACGGTCATAGAACGAATTGGTTGGTAAGTGAGGAGTTAAGGGATTCCTTGCTCTGGTGTGGTTGTCTATGTTCGGGGAAACTTCCCCGAACAAAGACATGCGCATCAGACCAGGTAATCCCCATGACGGCTCACACTTACGCCTGGTCATAAGTGCGAGCCATCAGAAAACAAGTAGGTCGCTCAATGAAGACCACCTGTAATTGGAACTCATTGCTTGGTTGGGGCATGAGACTTTTAGAAATCGTGTCGGCTCATGTGACTTACATTTTGCGTTTTTTACACACCTATTTGGTCTGGCTTACCGGACAGTGAACCTTTATGTCCGATTATTGGATATTAATAGGTATTCTTATTTTTTTTTTTATTCTTTATTTAGATATTTCTCAGACGGACAAAAATTTCACTTAAATCTGTGTTTTTTCTTACAAGTTGAAGTTGTATCTAGAGCCATGTCTTGACTATGTCTTGAGAATATGAAGCCAGGACCGTTATATTAAAAATTGGTTCTCCCCTGACCTAACCACTTACTACTGGGCGATTCACCTACAACAGGTGATCGAATGGGCAATATATCCTCCGGACAAACTCTGAATAGACATAGAGGCCAGCTTCACGACGCTCCCCCTACAGACACTTCCATGGCAGCCCACAACTCCAGTGACCAGGGGAGAACGAGGCCACCCCACAATAGCCACCACCCTCCAAGTCTGGAACAAAATATCGACAGCGGAAGAAAAATCTCCACGCCTACCTCCCCCCCTCTACCCAATCACGGGTAACCCGGCGTTCCGCGGCCTAGACACCGCTCGGATCATGACCAGCCTGGGACTACCGTCACAATGTAAGCTACAACATCTGCTTACAAATGGAACCATCACACCGCTCCCTGACCTACCCACACCGGAACCCCTGGACTTAATGACGAGATTCAGACACCACCAAATAACCCTCAGACTCAAGCAAATACCCAACATAACCTCAGCTGACAGGCAGCTCACCACTTTTGAAACACTATGCACCCAACCCCTACCCCCTCCACACGCAATATCACTGCTCTACCGGCTACTACAGACTCTGCCAACCAACCAGCCCTTCCCATATTTCACTAAACACTGGGAGTGAGACCTTGGCCACCCCCTGACCCCAGAACAGTGGACCAACGCCTTCACGCTGACACACAAATTGTCAATCAGCACAAAATACCAGGAATCCGGATACAAACTCATATCCCACTGAAAGCGGTCCCAGAGAAACTCGCCTCCATCAACAACACCTGTGCACTGGAGTGCTGGAGATGTGGCAGAGAACTCGGCACGCTGTTCCACATATGGTGGACATGCACCCAGATCCAACCCTATTGGCAAGAAATACACCGGATGATCTCTGTAATCACGGACGACTCCGTGGAATACACTCCAGAGAACTACCTACTCCATCTGACTCCCATGCCGCTGACGACCTCCAAGAAAGCCATCATCCCCTACCCGATCAATGCAGCGCGTAGCCTCATCCCGACCTTCTGGAGACAGACCTCAGCCCCCGCTACTACCGACTGGATCACCAGAGTGGAAGAAATACGGAACATAGAAGAAACTATCCTGGCAGCAAGGAGATGGAGCCAAACCTACCAGAAGATCTGGTACCACTGGATACACTGGCTGGCTACGAAATAAAGACCCGGAAATACCTCCTACAACCTCCAGGAAAGATGGGCCTGGACCCATCTTGGAAGCCACGACACCATGTGCTGCGAGACCGTCTGCGAACACCCCCCCACACGTGGGGGGGGGGCTGCGAACCCCAAACCACCCCATGGGCCCTTCCCTCTTCTCCTTCCTAACCCCCCCTCGCCCTCTCTGCCTGGCCCGCCTCTTCCCCCCCCTTGCCCTCACCCTCTTACTCTCCCTCTGCTCCCGGTTTCCTACTGCAACACCCGCCACTTGGGAGGAACACACCGCACAGACAACAGCTTAGGCTGTCCAACCACACAGTAGCAGGCACCCCACCCTCTCTGTACCCCACAACCACAATTATTATTTACCTTCCCCGACTCTTTGCCTGCCAATGAGCAACCAACCCAGCAGCAACATACAGGCCACTACAATGATAGGGACCACTCAACCCCACCAGATACAACCAACTACCTACTCAGATATATACTTTATTCACGATGTAACCTACAGAACATAATTGCTGCCCACCTGGCCAACTGATCATTGAATGTCAATATTGCTCTATGATATACTCATTTGATAAGCCTCAGTTCAACATCCCACTGACACCACACACAGACTTGGTTCTCAAGAAATGCAAACCGCACAACGCAACATAGATGAGAAATTACCCACATGGCCATATGCACGTAACATACCTCTGCAAAGGCACTTGGACATACATATATACATACACATTACCGACAAGACTTCACCCCAACCCTGACCAACTTGGTACACGGACCAGATACTAGGATGCCATGCACTGCTTATTTGTACCTCTGTTTTTTCTTCTGTGAAAAATGTTATTTGCATTACCCCTGATCAAGGTACCATGCCTCTGCGTAGGCAACAGTGCATACATGCATACGTCTATTTCCTGTGCAAACCAGTTCAATGTATGTTATAATTTCGCTTATAAAATAAAAAATAAAAAAAATTGGTTCTCGCTCTGAACTATTACTACAGAAACCTCACTGTGACTTCAGTCACTTTGACACGCTGGGTGTGATGGATTATGGATTTACTTCTGTGTTCAGACCCCACTCAGTCATGGGTGTTATGGCATCCAAAGCACTTTCTATGGGTTGTCGCTTGGCAGATCTCATGAAGTCCGCTGACTGGTTTAGGGAGTCTACATCCAATGAGTTTAATTTCAATCCTTCATCTCATTTTACTTCCCATGTATTTTGCAGCTTTGAATGAGCAGAATATGAACCTGTCAGACATATAGTGCCAGAAAATATGATTATTCTACACACTGTATGCACTATACATATTGCACCATATTAATATTTAAATGAATAATTTAAAAAAATTAATATCAATAAAATTATCATTTTCACAATATATTATTTGTAATATTTTGTCCCACAGTTATCCCTACATGCCTTCGTGTCTTGTAATAAAGCTACCAGATTTTACTAATAACATGACAAAGTCATGATTTATTAAAGACATTTAATTTTACCACATATCTTCTCTTATTTCAGCTTCAAATTCTCTTTCTACATATTTGAACCAGTTTCAGGTTGATGATTCTACATTATGGTTCAAGAATATATTAGACATGTTTTCTGCATTATTATTGGAGATAGTCTGTTTTGTTGTGATGGTTTTTACTTCGGTCGCATCAGCATCAATAGGAGTGGCTTAGGGTCACATAGGTGGACATGAGATGCGTGATGATGTTATTGGTTACTTTGATTGTATCCTTAACCCTTCGGGCTTTGTTTTTTTTCCTTAGTTTTATATAACATTTTGCTTTGATGCGGAGTTAATAAAAGAAATAGATAAGCAGAGTATTCACCTCTATGTCTTTAATAAAATAATGACTTTACGTTATATTATTAGTAAAAACTGGTCATTCACAGGCTTCATACAGAACATAATTTGCTATGGGTTTGTTCATAGGTTGACAGGCATCTGATTAATTCGGTGCACCTGAAAGGCATTTATGCATATGTCTCTTGATTGATACCATGGTGGGGTTATATAGGTTCCGATTCATTTCTGGAGAGAACTCTATATCACTATATTTTGTTGCAGCCCCAAGATTGCAAAGGGGGAAGTGAATATAGACCGTAAACAGTAAATGGTAAGGATTTGATTTTGTTGCATTTATTATTTATAAATTGGTAAGTTTTCTACAATTCATTGATTTGTATCCATGAGTGTTCTATATTAATATAGAACTTGTTTGTTCATATATATTTTTCTTCTCTTTACACTGTATCATTTAATTCCAGATCCTGCAGATTTCATCTTAATAATATAACTTGCATCTGAGCCTTTCAAATGCCAGAGGCAACTTAAGTGCTCGTCCAGGCTAGTTATCATCTTTACTGATCACCACAATTTTACCATTGTTGGTCTCACTCCTGCGAGGCTCACCTTTGCGACCTCTCACTGACAAAGGTAGCCATATATATATATAAAAAGGTTCTAACTGGAGGCTGAGAGAGTGTTATGCACATGATATGCCAGACATTATGTGACATGAAAAAAAGCACTCTTGATATTGGGGAGGAAGCTGGATAGTGACAAAGTGAAGCAGACATATGTTGGTAATCCATAGAACTGCAAAATTAACAAATTGTGTAGGAAGGGGACCAATGAGCTAGAGGCATTGGGAAGGTTGAGATCAAGTGATATTAGAAATAAGTGGATTAGTGACACTGACTTAGTGGTCTGAAGGAAGTTAAGCAAAAAGCAATGGCAGAAATCTGCGAATAAGTGCATTAGTTCCATTTGGAAGGGGATGTGACATTTGCAATATGTCAGGGAATAAATTGGAATAGAATGGATACATATCATCTAGACGAAATCTTCTCAATTTAAGGAGGCATGTCCTTTCTAATTCTATTCTGAAGTATGCCTAAAATATTGCAAGATAAAAATTTTGATATTGTGTCTAAAATATTTACTATCAAATATATTTGTAAAGGATGAACGATTAAACATAGAATTTCACTACATAATTGTATTTATTTTTTTTGTATTCCTGACCTGCAGTCTGTATCTGAAATTGCTCTTTTATGAAAAATATGTGCACGTTATACATCTCAAATAAATGCTATGATTGTGTATTATTTTTTTTTTAACAGAAACTCTCATTTCCCAGGATTTTAATACTATACTTATTTATACTGTATATTTAATAAATATGTATTTCTAAGGTATACAATATAAAATGAAATACAGAAATCTACTTATTGCGTTATTGCCTCCATCTTTGCTTTCTGTCAATCATTGTTGCAAGCTCTGTCCTCAGAACCTGGCAATCAGCGAACGCATACAGAGAAGAGGAGAAATTAAACCGTTTCTAGTTCTCCTCTGCTCAATGTTTACCTGAGCTTTGCCTCATCTGTGAACCAGATTGAGAAGTCATTTGGTAAATCTTTAACATAAATTTAAACGAAAATGGAGCAACTCGTGATAAAAAAGGTTAACAGCAGTTATGTGATATTCACGGTTTTAGGCAATGGTGTAAATATCAGAGTAGTGGCAGTTCCCAACCCCTTAAGGACACATGACTGAAATATTCCATCATGATTCCATTTTATTTCTGAAGTTGTGTCCTTAAAGGACCACTCTAGGCACCCAGACCACTTCAGCTTAATGAAGTGGTCTGGGTGCCAGGTCCAGCTAGGGTTAACCCATTTTTTAATAAACATAGCAGTTTCAGAGAACGGGGCGGAACTGAGGAGGAGAGAAGGAGGAGAGCTCTCCGCCCAGCGCTGGAAAAAGGTAAGTTTAAACCCCTTTCCCCCTTCCAGAGCCGGGCGGGAGGGGAACCCTGAGGGTGGGGGCACCCTCAGGGCACTATGGTGCCAGGAAAACGAGTATGTTTTCCTCGCACTATAGTGGTCCTTTAAGGGGTTAAGGAGCTTGTTTGTGATGGGGCTTAAAATGTTTCATGCACATCTACAGAATTATCAAGGTAAAACAGATGTTTTGTTGGGGCAAGGTGTTAAATAAAAAGAAATCATTGTGGAAACCAAAACAGGCAAACTTTCCAATGGACAAATAAGGACATTTTAAAGTTTAGTGGTCTGAGTGGGGGAGTGTCCAGGAGTGGGGCCTTTATAAGAAACATAGGTTACTTAAGGTTAGTAATAATAGTTTATGCAATTAAATGTTATTTAGAACAAGAACAATGTATCTTATTTACACAGATTGGTTTCTAGATAGATGTGCTGTAGTTTAAAGATACATTACTGGAAGTATTATTGCTGTGGAGCTTAGTTATACACTCAGACACAGAAACAATATGGAGCTCCTAAAAAAGAGGGACATTAGGATAAAAAGAGGGACAGAGGGATTTGGGCTCTAAAATAAAGACTTATCCTTCCTAAATAGGGTCACTTGGGAGGTATGACAATGTCAATCATTTAGCACTTTACTTCAGCATAGCACTTGTTTTCAGTTTGATTTTGCTTGTTTAATACATTTGGCATTGTGCAAAAGAAATGTTTTTTTTGCATTATGTTCTATAAACCAAATTATTACACATTTTATAGCAACAATAAGCAAAACCAGTCTGATATAAAGTCCTGCTGCCAGAAGGTGTTTGATAAATATCAGCACATTGCACATATATTGCTTTCCATGTTTTTAAATTGCAAGTAGCAAAGAGGTCAGCTCATAGAAAGGCTGGGGGAAAACACCCACATTAAGAATACTCATACAATGAATGTAGCATTTACCCAACATCCTCCAACTTAGAAATAGCACACGAAAACTAATGTGACCTCAGTGGGGTTTTGTTTTCTCCCTTATCAGTGAAGAAAAGAGACCAACAGTCCATTATTTCTTCACATGGTGTAGGTTGCTGGGGCCATGCAAAATGGAAGTAGTTGCCAAAAAATGTCAGAGGTAATTAAGGTGCAGTTGTTAAGATAATGGTGTTGTTAAACTGTGGCAGGTGACCGCTTGAAGCCTGCGGTGTTGTAATTACT